TTGTTGTTGTTGTTGTTGTTGTTGTTAATATCCTGCCTCTCTGTAAAATACAGCTGAGGCGGCTTACATGATAAAACAAACAATCCCGTCCTCCAATAGCCCACCCCTCCAAAACACAATTAAACAATCAAAAATTTAAAAACAAACTGAAAAATAACAAACTACAAAAACATTCCAACAATTGACAAATAATTTAAAATAGCTCTAGTGGAAATCAGGGACAGGCATAACTATTTTCGGTGGCTGGTTACGTACTCAGGAAAGGCCTGCCGGAAAAGGTCCCTCTTAACCGCTTTTTAAAAGCTGTTTAAGGTGGTCAGATGATGGATCTCATCCGGCAGGCCGTTCCAAAGCCTGGGAGCAATAGCCGAAAAGCCGATAGCAAAAGAAGGGGGCAGAGGAAGAAGAGGAAGGAGGAGGCAAACTGGACCTTGAACATTTTCACCTCTCCCCAACTTCCTTCCCCTGCTTAGTAAAACCACTTTCTGCAAGCGAAGGCTCTCTATAGTTTTTTGTGGGTTTTCCCGGCTGTGTGGCCATGTTCTAGAAGAGTTTCTTTCTGACGTTTCGCCAGCATCTGTGGCTCTCTCTTCTTTTTCTTCCTCCTCCTTCTCCTCATTCTCCAGCTCCCCCCCCCAGCCTACTAACAAACCAAGGCTGGCTCTTCCCACTAAGCCACGGTGCCTTATTGGGAAGGTCCCACTTCTTGTACCACCATGGCTCTTGGGGGGACTGGGGAGACCCTCTGGGGGGAGTGGATATGGCAGGAGGGTTTTGTTTCTTCTGCTTCCCCATGCCCCCCCATTACCTCCCCCCTTCCAAGCTCCATCCTTACATCTGTCACCCTTCCAAGCATATGATATCCAATGGTAGGGGGATCTTTTCCTTCTTCTCCTCCTCCTCCATTTGAGGTATTTCTTCTATTCTGGCATCAACCCCCCCCCCCTTCTCACCCCTTTTACTTCCCTTCTCCTGCCACCTCCACTTTCCCTTCCCCATCATGGAAAATCAAAGGGACACCCCTGTTCTCCTAATAATGAAGACAGAGTGCACAGCTTCTATATTTTGAACATTTCTTGTCTCTCTAGGATGCTAAACTTGCTGTCCATTTAAACCTTGGAGGACGAAGAAGGGTTGAAGACACCAGTCTGTTGTCAGTCTGTCTCTCTTTTCATGCTTGCAAACTTTACAAGGATCTCAGGCAAGAACAAGAAGACTTTGACAAGATAAAGGCCCATTTGGCAGCCAGCTCTTTTCCAGGGAAGGCTGAAAGATTGTAATAGCTCTTAAGAAAGGGATGGATGGGTTGAGTGTGTTTGCATTTGTGAGTGTACATAAACAGATATTTGCAGCTGAAAGAAGACTAGCTCTGGTGCAGAAGCTCTTACCACACTCCGTGCCCCAGGCTGACTCTGAAACCATGATGGGAGATGGTTCAGCCTCTGTTTCTTCCATGGATTGCAGTTTGTTCTCTTTGGGAATTGGTGGGAATCCTTGGTCCTCCAGATGTTGATGGACTGCAGCTCCCATCAGCCCCTTGGTCAGCTTAACCAATAAGTGAGGAGACCTGGGATTTTCAGTCTACCAGCACCTGGAGGGCTGCAGGGTACCCAACTCTGCCTTAGAGCTAAATGTTATGAATAATCCCAGCTGGGGAAGGAGAAGGATGGATGGAGAAGGAAGGAGTCCAACAAAAGAGCCATTTTTGTTTGTTTATTCTGTGCTTCAAACTATGGGACGCTATGAATGAGAGATGGGCAAGGGACCCTGTTATTAACAAGCCTCCTCAGGTCTTGCAAGCTCAGCATCTTGGCTTCCTTGATGGAGTCAATCCACCGGTGTTGGGGTCTCCCTCTTTTCCTTCTGCCTTCAACTTTATACAGAACATTATTGTCTTTTCTAATGAGTCATGTGCTAAATGTGTCCAAAGTACAATAGCCTCAATTCAGTCATGT